GCCTTGGCACATCAGGCAAATGCTTGCCAGTGGTCTACACCCCAGACACCTTTAAATAACAAAACATTTTTGTTCACGTTGCTTAAGTATTGGTCCTCCTTAAGTATCTGAATATGTAAACTTCCATGGTGAAATGTATGTTACATGTCATACGTGTTTTTATATTTGTATACTGGGCCTTAGATTGAATTCATGTCACTTAGAATTTGCCATTTTGAAGTAAGCTATATTCAAATATTCACTCTGCTGTTTGACTGCAGACTGTATTTGCACCAGAAGAAGGTTTGTTACCCTGTTAGCAGCCACAACCCCTCCTTGTTTTCCCTCAGTCCCTGGGAACCACTGCTCTGCTATCAGTCTTCATGTACTCGGCTCTCCTGGACAATTCATATGAACGGACTCATTTAATTTCTGGCTCTTGGTGCCTGGACTTAGGATGATTTGGAATCCTTGGGTCATATATTAACTTTGTTCACTTTAGAGGTGCTGTAAGACTTTTCCAAAGCAGGTGCACCACCAGCAGTATGGGAGGGTTTCAGGGGTTCCACATGTTTGCCAACACTTCTTATTGTAGGCCTTTGACTGTGAGACCCACTTCACTGTGGTATGAGGCTGGTCTCAAATTCTGGCCCTCAGTGGATCCTCTAGTGCCCACCCACTCCAGCTGGAACTGCAGGCATGTGCCACTGTGCCCAGTTTTCTGTCTTAGTACTTATAGTCACCTTAGTGGTTTGAAGTGGTATATATGTCATTTGATGTTTCATGTGTATTGGTCATTTGTAATGACCTTTTTTTTTTTTTTTGGTACCGGGGATTGAACTCAGGCCCTTGCGCTTGCCAGGGAAATGCTTATTCTACTGAGCCATCTCCCTGGCCCCTCTGCCCATTTTTAAATTGGGCTTCTTAGCTCTTTATTGTTACTTATTTCAGGTACTAGGCAGTTAACAGCTATATGCTTTGCAAATATTACTTTTCATTGAAGTACAGTGTTTTTAATTGTAAGACTTTTAACTGTTCCATTTAGGTCTCTGATCCTTTTTGAGTTAGCATTTGTATACTGTGTTAGGTAGAGGTCAAAATTCATTTCTTTGGCATGGGACATATAGTTTTCTTTATACCTTTTTTGTTATTGGATGGATGATTCTCCTCATTGACTTCTCTTGGTCTGTGTTGAAAATCAGTTGTCCACAAATGTATGGTCTTGGTTTGGGCCTTCAATTTTTTTTTTTACAAAATCTTCAGGGCGGCGACCTAGCGCAGCGGTTTTTGCGCCGGGCTCTAGAGCGCAAGGTCGCCGGTTCGCGCCCCCGTCCCAACTCTTTCTATTTGGGGGCGGGAGAGATGGCTCAGTGGAATAAGCGCTTCCCTGGCAAGTGCAAGGGCCTGAGTTCAATCTCCGGTTCCGCCAAAAAAAAAAAAAAAAATCTTCTTAGGTGTCTGTCCTCATTCTTTATGTTTCTCTTTATATTGGAGGATGTTGCTGTTGCCATATAACTGTTAAATCTTTTTTTTTTTTTTTTAAAGTACTAATCAAATGCTGTACCATTGAGCCCTATCCCTGGCCCCTGTTCATTGTATCTTAACAGGTGGACATACTTGTTAATAATGCTAGTTCTCTCCACAGGGCTAGTAAGATGCAGTTCTCAGCTCGGGATGATTTCTGCTTTTGGGCTGGAAAATATGTTGAATGAATTTAAGAATTTCTGTATTGTAACATTCTTTGCCATTAGTATAGTGACACTAGGTTTTTCGGTCCTTTTGTCAGTGGTTCAGGAGGTGAGGAGTTAAACTCACCAAATCATTTACCAGAATCTATTGAAGATTTAATGTGGTATTGCTGTTGCTGGGCAACGTGTCAGCGGCTGCCCATCTAGTGTTTCGCTGTAGCTGAGTCTCCCAGTGTACCTGGAAGCGGGTTTGAGCTGTTTGAGTCCCTGTTTTCCTTCTCAGCTGTCTGGTTTCAGCCTTTGTAGCCTAGTGAGTCAAGCCCTAAAGCTGAGTTCTTTGAATCACGCGCAGAAATGTCTGATGCATAACCTCAATCAATGACAGCTGGTTCCACAAACCTCCCACTGTATCAGGTAGTCCTAAAATCATTTTCTGGATATATCATCTTATTAATATAATTGGATAAAGCAATAACCATATGACTTGTTTTCTATGGCCTATAAATTAGCAATTAAGGATAATTACTACATCTATGAAAATTTGCAACATGAATCAGTCAGTACAGACAGCTTTGGCAGATCAATTACCCGTGACAGGTTCTTCACAATCTAACACTATTCTTTTGAAATTAAAATTCTGATAAATGATGTATTTTACTTAATTATGATGTTTACTGTTTATCTGTCTCTACTGGAATGTAATTTTCCTAAGAGTACAACTTTTTTTTTTAACACTGATGCATGCCACTTTTCTAGAATGATGTCCCACACATAGTAGGCATTCTGTGTATCTTGAGTTAACAAATGAATAAATCAATCAATCATGGAATAAACATCTAAGAATAATCAACTTAGATGCTAGTCTTTCAAAGAGAAAAAATGTTTTAATGTCATTTGAGCTATAAGTTGTCTGATTTACAAACCCTTGGTGTTTTCATATTTTACTTAGACATTTTAAGTATTCTACTCCTGAGGGTATTTCTCCTGGGTTTTAATTGGTGGAGAAGATTAGATAGCAGAAGGCCATTAAAGTATTTTTATTAGGGAAGAACTTGAACAACCTATTGCCAAGGCAGTAGCTGGAATTCAACAGTGTTTGGAAGATGAAATGGAGATAGCTAACGAGGTGGAGTAACAGTGTGTTCTGAATGATTTCAGGTCCTAGTAATAGGAGGGAAACTTCTTCTTCCCTAATAGAGACAGGTCTCTTTCTTCCATGATGGCCTATGGTCTTTTCCAACCTTCTCTAGCAAGGCAAATGAGGGGAGATAGATTCAGTGGAGAGATAGACGCATGCCAGCCCTTTTCTCCTGGAGGAAAAGGAACAGCAGTGCCTACCATAGCGAAGCTATTCTTGTTGCTTGGGTTGAATTTGTGACTGTTGCTTGATCAAAAGTATAGAGCAGCCTAAAAAGTAAAAATCATCTCTGTCATATTAATTCATGCATATTTGGTGTAAGAAGGCAAAGAAATTCTGGTAATTATCTTTAGAACAGCATTAGTGAGAAGAGAGGGTATACAAAGGAGTTTTGTGACATTATTGTACAAATGAATTCTCAGAATCTCTTATGCAGGGTAACAGTGTTGACTTCTTGCCCAGCAGGGACCTAGCTTAGTAGGCAGAAGCATAGAGCTAACATCTTTCTAATCAGTGATACTTCCAGTGTCAAACAGTTTCATGCTCGCAGCTTTCTGCTACTTGAACAACAAAGTTTGAAAAAAAAAAAAATATTGGTGCTCGAAACTGTGCTGATAGTGAGCTGAAAATCCTGCCTGAGAAAACTTGTATTACCCGAGAGTAACAGAAAGGGGTGGCACTTCAATCTTAAGGATGCTCTCCTACAGACAAGGTATTCATTTAAGTCATTGATGTTACTGAGACAATCTTGATGCCTAGTTCTCAAAAATTGGGTATGTATATTTGAGAGAATTCCCATAAAAAGGAAATGAAAAAGCAATAGTGGTCCACGTCAGCATGGATGAGTTTCACTGAAGAGAATGAACAGGAGGAGCAAAGCCTCTGGTGGGTTTATGCACTAGACTCTATTACCAGAGGGGTTGGAGATGGAAAATAAGGAAGTCACGTTGTGTGAGGATGCACATGGATGAGCTACCTTCAGGGGCAGGGGGTGCAGTATCACAGAGCTTTGTAACATGGGTGTCAGGTGAAGGCACAATGAGGACAGAGGGGCCCAGAGGGAATCTTAAGATTCTAGCAGTGGTCTGGTTCTTAACTTAGCACGTGGTTCCTCAGTTGTTTATTTTTCTTATTTTCTAACATATGTCTGAATGCACTTTTGTATTTATGTTAATATTTCACAGTTTAAAGCAGCCATTAAGGTGGAGAGGTGAGGGGGGATCATTCTGGAGGATGTCTATGGGAGTAGCTACCCCTCAATACTCGGTCCTCTCTTCCTCCAAAGGACTGTTCCTTTACACAGCACCCGGGTCTCACTGGAGCAGTGCTCTGTGTTAGCTGCACTCTCCAACCTCCTCTCTGCCCACCTGCCAGCAGCTACTTCTTTGAAGCATGAAACCGAGTCTTTCCGAGCTAGCAGAGCCAGCACTGGAACCCACCTCTTCCTTACAGTGCCTCGCTGAGCAGAAGCAACTTGAATAGCCTGAGTCATTTTTTCAGCGTGCCCCTTCTTCCATTCTTGCACTTGTAATCTTTCCTTCTTCTGCCCTGCAACTGTTTTAAAGTTAAATGCCAGTGAGTCTCAGCTTTTTGCACCATTGCAATTGGGCTCTGTGCCTGGCCCCCTTGATCAGAGAGATGAAAGGAGCCGCTATGCTTGGGAGCCTTGAAGTGCTTTTTAGAATCTCCTAATTGTTTGGAGCCTGAGCTTTTTGGGTTACTCTACTGCTGTATTTCTCTCTGGCCTTGAACGTGCTTCCTCCTGGATGGTGTGTGGCATCTTCCTCCAGCTTCTGCCTCCGTCCTAGAGTGGAAAGTATGGATGGTGATAGGAGCCTCTTGATAATTGAGAAGACCATGAGTGTTGGTGCTTGCTGGGATCAGACTATGAAGGTCCTTAATCTCTGCCGCTCACAAGCCTTTTCCCTGCAGTCTATTTTATGAATTTTCTACTGGGTGTTTAATTCCTGCTTGTATTGTTGGATCTATTGTTTCAGAATCTGGCCCAAGGCTTTACATTGGAGTTTCTCTTATAAAATGGAAAACAGTTCTGTTCATTTAATCTAATTCAACAAAACTTCAAGGGCCTCCAAATTGCCAAGTACTGTTTCAGATGTTGGGTTTGTACTGGTGACAACTTCATCATGATGGTTTTACCTCCAGGCCTCTAATTTTCTCTGTTTCTCCCTGCACAGGTCCTCTCCGGGTGTGCCATCATTGTCCGAGGGCAGCCTCGGGGTGGGCCTCCTCCTGAGAGGCAGATCAACCTCAGCAACATTCGTGCTGGAAATCTTGCCCGAAGGGCGGCTGCCACACAACCGGATGCAAAAGACACCCCAGATGAGGTAGGTGCTTCTTGGGCCCTCCCAAGGCCACAGACCTAGGACAACCGGCTGTCTTCCTTGGCTAGCATGATTTTGCTGTAATTGGTTTTTTAGGTGTATTTTGTGTAATTTTTACATCATGGAATGGATGGCTTTAGATACACCCCCATGCCTTCCTTCTGGTGTTTATATATTTACTGCCTTAGCAGCAGTGACATCTCAGAGCTTTTTCTTCAGTTTGTCCAGTGTTTTCACTGCTCCTCCTCTGGGCATAGACTGGGTATATTCGTAGGTAGTCTCACCCTTTTGAAGCCATCATTTGTTACGGCAGAGCAGGGAGAAGTTTAGTATTTCCCTCAGGGACAGCTGGAATTACTAGTGCAGTGTGTATTCTTCCAGAGATATTTAATGTCTTTAATGGTGTTTTTGTAAATGGTAGCATGCTATACATGCAAAGGCCCTTTACTGTAGATTCTTAATCTGGGATCCATGCATCCCTGAAAAGTGTCTGTAAATCTGATGAAATTGTAAAAGCTTGTGAAACATGCAGTTTTTTAAAGGAGTTTTGATCAGCTGTAGCTCACTGTTGTATTAGGGCATTATGGCGAGAAACTACTCCTAAGCTTTCCTACCTCTCACACCCCCCATCCCTATCCCCAGCCCTGGTGCCTGGCCATCATGGCTTCTCTGTTCTCTGTTTTTGACTCCTTAAGTTCTTGTGTTTCCTGACAGCTGCCTGAGTTCTACTTTAACCTGGCTGTGTGTGGGTCTCTTTTAGTAGTGCTTTGACTCCGGGAAATGAAGTGTGTAGGTTCTGCTTAGTTGTTCTGTGCCTCTACCTGATGATGCTGAGCAGATTTGTACCTCAGCTGACTTCTGCTCTTCTCTGCCTGAGAGGTGAAGAAGAAAAAGCAAGAGCTCATGAGATCTTTTCTTTGAGAAAACCATTGTTTTTTTCTCCTGTAGCAAAGGGCATTTTGTTTGAATTAAGAGTGTAGTGAAACAGTGTTACAGATAATAGAGAAGAGAAAAATCACCACCCATAATTATTCTATTAGCAGCAGTCAGATATTTGGAATAATGACTAAGTAGATTAAAATCAGTTTTTCATTGGTCCACCATCAGTAACCATAAGTGTTGGGAAGAATACATTATTCTTCCATGTAGTGTGTTCTACAGTGTTGATCAGTGAGGATTGAATAAGACAACATGAAGTGCTTAGCACATTAAAAAGTACTTAATAAACATTAGTTGTGGTAATCACTACTGCTGTGTTAGACCATGTATTGAAGATTAAATCTCTTTAAGCATTTTTCAGATTTCAGGGGCCACCCAAGTGGATACACCAGTGTTTTATAGCTCTCTTCCTTTCAGATGCATGTTGTGTAACAGCCTGACTGCTTCTGAGAGGTGGCGTGCTACTCTTTCTTAGAGCTGATCAAGCTCGTTTCCCCAGCAGAAGGAAGCAGTGTAGCTTCTAAGAAAGAAAGGCTGTGTTTTCATTTCCTGTTTCATGCATGAACCTCTGGGGCAGAGAGATGCAAGGCCAGTTGTTTTAAAATATCATAGCTGTAGCCCATGTAGTGGGACAATGGAGTCGGAGCAGAACTATTTTAGCTAGAAGGATACCACGTAATCATGACAGGCATTCTTTGATAGTTCCTTATATTTATATAGCCTAGTGCTTTTGCCTCTACTACAGCAACTTGGTCTCACCAGATTATTTCCAGTAATTCTTGGGAAGTCCCGGTGAGAAGTCCCTGTGAGAAGAAGTGTTTGGTTGCTGTAGTAGAGGCAACACATTCTTTGCTAGCCCACGTAGTTGAGACTCTATGAAACACAGACAGAAGGATGGAAGGAAGTTGCTAGCCCAACTTGCTCTTTTTGCTAAGGCCAGTCTCCTCTCTTCCGCTGTGATCTGGTTTTCCTCCTGCCATGCCCTGAAGCTCTCCAGTGGGCTACTAGTGACACCAATTGGGAACCCAAGCCAGAAACCTGATTTATTTTCTTTCTTTCTTTCTTTCTTTCTTTCTTTCTTTCTTTCTTTCTTTCTTTCTTTCTTTCTTTCTTTCTTTCTTTCTTTTTTAACACTGCTATGCCAGCATCATTATTACGTAGAGATTCTGCCCCTTTAAAAATCTTCTCTTATCTACCTTGGTGTTTCATTATTATTGCTATTTATTTTTGTCCCACTCTGTAGAGTGCTTGGAATGTTGGAATAATAGTCTCATTTCAATTTTTCTAATCTCTTTTCTCTAGCCTCTGAGATACTTTTGAAATATTTCATTTCTTCCCTTGTTCAATGCTTGTTTGCTTCTGTCTGTCTGTCTGTCTGTCTGTCTCTTTTCTGTCTCTCTCTTGTTCTCTCCTTTTCTTCTTCCTTCCATCTGTCCGTCCTTCTGTCTTTCTTTCTTGTGGAGATCTAACCAGTTCAGGCTGGTTTGAGCTCACTGTGTGGCCCAGGCTGCTCCCGAACTCCCTTGGTCATCCTCCTGCCTCAGCTTTCCAAGTGCTAGGGTTACAAGTATCCCCACCATGCCCAGCCCCTTGCGCAGTTATTCCTAGATATGTCAGTGATTGCTCATCTCTGTGACAGTCCTACATGCCTTTGCCTGGAATACAAGCCCATCTGTGATGTGACTGTCAGTCTTCTGTCAGGATAACAGCAGCGATGCCACAGTAGTCATCTCATAGACCACTTGGGTGCCCCCTTTTCTTTTCCTTAGTTCATGCTGCTCTTTTCCTCAGGAGTTCTTCCTCTGTATGTGGCCAGGAAAACTGCCATTTTAAAGTCAGCGTCACCTGACATTTCCTGTTGTCAACACATGGACCATCATTCCAAGTTTCTATGTCTTTACTAGATTGTAAACTTAACAAAGGAGGGGTCCTGTCTCTTATTTCTATGCCCATTCAGTACCTGACATAAACCAAGAACAGTAAATAAATGCTTAATTGTATGCTGCGGAGAGAATCCAGGTATTTCTTTTTTGGGGGGAGGGGAGCGCGTGCAAGGATTATACAATATGGCACGCGTCTTCTAGGCTTTACATTCTTTTGGAACACACTGTCTAGTTTTTTTCAAGTTCAAGAAGAATCAAGGATATGATTGCTCATTTCCTTCCCTTTATATCACTGCCCCAAATATTATTCACTCCATTACTCTTTGCCTTCCTCCTGATATCTTCTTTCCATGATACTCAGCTTCCTCCTAAATCCTCTGACAATGAACACTGCTCTGTCTTCCCTACGTCTGCAGCCATCACTGCTGTTTCAGGCTAATCCCCAGCGTTGCCTAGCTACTCGAGACAGCCTGGATACTGCACTGATGGGCACTGGGGGAATTATATATTTATTTCCCACAGATTAATTGAGCTCCTGTTGTGTGTGAAGCTGTATGTTGGCTTCATGAGAAATAAAGTAATGAATGTTATAGTCCCATGTTCATTAGAGCTTTTGAGAACTGGGGAGGCCGGAGAGAGAAGATAGACCAGGATATCCTCATAATGTGATGATTAGAAGAGAGGTGTTAGACGTTAGACCCTGTTCAACCTAATAACTAGCTTTTAGGTTTTGGATTGTTCTGGGATTTGATGTTGTAGTAATTTTAGGAGTCTAAAAGTCAAAAAGGTGATTTCAATTAGGAAGTTCCATTGCACAAGTTTGCTTGGTATCGGGCATGAAGATCAAGCCACATTATTGCTGTTGTGCATTCTAAAAGGAAGACATAATCTTGAGTCTAACAACAATAAGTCCTTGACTTCTGAGTGTTTGGGTTGGATACTTTCAGATAGGAACAGACCGCACATTATGAACATCCGTAGATGTGAAGTTTGTGGAGTAGTTCACGTGTCTCCTGGACATTGTCATAGTTGTGCCTCTGTGTGCTTACTGTACTGTGCCGTAGTGTATAGTAGTACAGAACAGTCAGGGACTTAGTGCATTTTTGTGTGTGTTTGGTTTTTTTCAGTGCTTTATACTGGTGTCAATTTGTAGGATTTACAAATGTTCTCTATTTGCTTCTTTGTTCTGTTTGTTTTGCTTTTTTTGATCATTTGCTTCTTAAATGGAGTTCCAGGCACCATTTAGGTAGACTACAGTTATTCTTTCTACTAATCTATTCTGTCTCTTGGAGCATATTTTTCTATATTCAGCATTGTTCTGGAAGGTTCTATTTGGACAGATAGCCTTCTGCCTAGGTGTTGTAGACATACGGAAGCACTGGCTTCAATTCTATAAAGGATTTTCTCATTGCTGTCTTGTCCATCCCATCATTTGAGGATAGTTCATTTCTTCCTTCCTTTCTTCTTTCTAACTTACCTTCCTTCCTTTGTGGCCAATTTCTTTCCTGCATAGTTGAGTTTCCTGATTGACTTTCTTGTTAGCTGTTATCTTGTCCAGATACAGAATTTGCCTACCTGTTGAAAGAACACAATTTGAGAAAGCTAGTTTTGGAAAGGAAGGTGGCAGAAACTAGATGATTTTTTTCCTATGGAGTTAGTATGTGTCTATTTCAACTCCTCCAGTGTAGCTTTTTCTTACTACCCAGTGACTGGCTATCTAGGAAACATGAGCGCCTAAAAGAGGGCTCCCTCAGCAAGCCTGAGGAACTTTTGAAAGCTTCTGTCTGCTATGTAGAAATTGAAAGATTCTCTGTGGGGCATCAGATATTTATTTCCTGTTTAACTGACCTTTGATAAGTCAGTTTTTGCCAAAATCTTAAATTCCTTTAGAAGTACTTGTGTAATCATACCTTTCCCAAGTATTTAAGAATGGAGTGTGTTGCTGAATTTTAAATATTGGCTTGGTAACGACACTGTTTTCATGACTGCCAGACCAAGTTTTCATGACTTGTAGCTCATGACTGCAAGCCATTGGCTTCTGGTTTCTGGGAAGTTGTATATAGATTTTGCTTTTAGAAAAGCTTGTTGCATGACCCCAGGGAGTAACCTTAATCTTCTTGGACTGAAAAGATTAGCAGAGTTCTCTTTTAAGCCACTAATGTACTGTTCAGCATTTCCTGTGCATAGTCTGAGTTCTGACTTTTAGAGACTGTATTAAGCAATCTCTTTACTGTATACATATTGTATTATGAAACGGGAAACCTCTTTTCCATGCAGTTTTTTAGCTTGTGAACTTCTAGCAACCACACATTGTTGCTCCATTCCTCTTTGTTTCTATTCTGCAGCAGAGGAGACATCTTCCTTTGTGTAAACCATCCTAGGAGGAGTGGTAGGGTGCACACAGGGTAAACCACCACACAGTATCTTGATCGCAGACTCGGGTTCACGTGTGGGCATGTGACTCCATTCTCCCATGTCCATGTTGTTAGCAGATGAGAAAGAAGAATCACCACTGTCAAAGTGATCTCTTCAAGGGCTGTTATTGTTGTCCTGCCAAGTTTCTAGGACCGTGAAGGGTTCTGGCAGCACAAAGAGATGAGGTGGATTTTGAAGTCTGTTCTTTCAGGTCTTTTGCGATCCTTCAAAAAGTGGCAAAAGTGACATAAATAAGGTTCTTACTTGAGTAGAGGATTCCCTCTGAAAGAATGATCCTAAAACTCAGTCCTGACTCTGAACTGGTTTCAGGAAAAGTGCTTGTAAATTGGAAAGAGGCAAACAAATGGAGGTGCTAGTTGTTATTTATGATATCCTTCTGCCCAGGTTCTTAGGGAGCCTGGGCTTCCCATTTCGGGGAATAGGTTGATATATAGAAAGCAGTTAGAGCAGTGGCTGGCACATTTTAAGTGCCATAAAAGTCTTGGCAAATATTATGCACAGAGTAAGCTGTAACTGAACCGATAGTGATGGGGGAAAGTGCTACTGCCAGTGTCTAGAAGCTGTTTTTAGGACCTTCTAGACCTGGCTTTTTTATAAGGCCCTTATGTGTGTGAGCTACTTTATTTATATGCATTTCATTTTCATATTCTGCATGCATGGCAAGCACAGGGCCTGGATGCAGTAGGTACTCAGATGTTTATTGAAGGCATGAAGTTACTTCAGAGCTGGTAAAAATTTGGAAAAGGCAGTTCTAACATTCTTGTTTTTTTCTTCTAGCCCTGGGCATTCCCTGCTCGAGAGTTCCTTCGCAAGAAGCTGATTGGGAAAGAAGTCTGTTTCACGATAGAAAACAAAACTCCCCAAGGGCGAGAGTATGGCATGATCTACCTTGGAAAAGGTGAGCAGCAAGGAGGCACACACTCATCTCCTGGAGTCTCACATTCTTCTAAGGGTTGGTTTTCATGTGGTGGGAGGCCAGTGTGGGTTCCTATATGTGAGGCTCGAGGGTAGGTTGGCTGTGGTGGCTAGAAGTGCTTCAGGTACTGGTTGTGGCACACAGTTGCGTGGGCATGCTCCCCTCAGCGCTGCTGCTTCTTGACCCTGTGCTGTTTTCTTAGCCTCGTGTAGGTGTGCAAGGTTCACCATGGTGTTCTCACGCCTATTTTGGTTACTGCTTGTGCAACTCAGTGGTTCTGTGTTTCTAGGTCAGAGTGCTAATTGAATTCTAATTGAATTCCTATAGATTCCCTGTGTTGCATCCTGTTTCCTTTATCTTGTGGCTTTTCCTTTCTTCCTAGAGATGCCTGAAGAGTGCAAGATCTGCTCAAGAAGTTTGGGAGGTTTTTTTTGTTTTGTGTTTCTTTTTTTACAGGCCACATACTTTGTAACAGAACATATGGGTTAGAATTCTGACTGTACTCTGCACTTTTCAAAGCCTAGTTTCTTCATTTGTTTTAAAGCTCTAAGCTCTGGTTTTATGTTCTGAAATACTGTGTGTGTGTGTGTGTGTGTGTGTGTGTGTGTGTGTGAGTGTGTGTACATGCATGTACATGCACACGCGGATGTGCATAATGGTAGTTGTAGTTTTCTTTGCATTAAGTAGAGGGGAGAATAAGAGGAATGGATGGAAATGGAGTTCGAATACATAGAGGACATTAGAATAATTATTAATATGCTCTTTATAAAGCAGCCAGGTAGGTAAACGAAAACAAACTGGAAGCCAGTTTCTTTCACCCTCAGCTAGGTATGGGGATACAAGCCTATAATCTCAACAAAACAGAATGGCTTCCTAATATCTCATACAGTTTAGCTGTTTTGGGAGTCTGCTTTCCTTGGGTAGTCGTGCTAGGGGTGGATAAGCAGGGCTCCGTGGCCAGGCACAACATCATGTTAGACTGACTTTAGTTGTAGAAGTGTTAGGAAAGAGAGTTGGGAATGACCCTGGAGCGTCTTGTGCAGTGTTCTGTTTGCTCTTTCCATGGTGGGTGAGAGTGGTAGGATTAGTGGCTAGCCTAAAGCTTACTGAAGAGAGATGATCAGTCTTCTGACTTTTGAAGTGAAGATCACCATCTCCCTTCCCTGAATTGTGACTTGACTAGGTTCATAATTTGATATGAAACAAGCAAGAATGAGGTCTTCAGCTTGCATGATTCTGTTTCAGTTTCCTGTGTCACATTTTGTTGCCTCCTTGAGGATTCAACCTAGGGCTACATACTGCCTTTTCAAGTAGTGTTTGTAGAGCTCACTTTTTAGAAGTGGGCCTTCTTTGAGTGGACTGTGCCAAGAAAATGTCTGAGAACTGCTGGCTGCTTTGTCAGCGGGCTGGCTATTTGTCTTGCTGTACTTGGACTGCTTTCTTTCTACCTCCAACCTCTTGACACCTCAGTACTTAACTTCTGACCCCATTGCATCCTTCACTTTGAATTTTCCTCCGCTCTTGGAGATTGCTGTTGCTTGGAGGAACCAGTGCAGCCTTCACTAACATCAGTGAAGTCTGAGTCTGATCTCAATGGACAGATGTGGCCGATCCATTTTCAGCTCAGAGCTGGACTCAGTATAAATTCACCTCAGTTTTTCTTGGTAAAGAAGGAGTCCTATTATTTGCCTCTGCAGAAATGTGAGCATTCTAATGGTGAGGCTTTAGGTTGAGCTTGGGGGGGTTCTATGAACTTGCTACCTCTTATAGAAGTTGATATGTAGTGTACTGAATATAAATCTTACAGAATTTTCTTCTGCGCTGACATTACCTATCATCTAGACTGCTATGTTTTGGTTTATCTAGGAGCTTGTTTTCTGCCATATTAAATATTTTTATGCAGTGATTTCCTCATAGATAGCTTCCTTTATCATTTCAACTGACAAGCAAAGATTTAAGAGAATATATCGAGTCTGAAAGCTTTTTCAATAGTATGAAAATGCAATTAATGTTTCAAGTGCTGGGGTTGAACCTAATCATATTGAGTTTTATGTTTAACTTCATTTTTCTTGCCTGTGTGAAAGATTGGAGATTGAGACAGTGTCCGCTCACTATCTGTGTGAGCACAAAAGACAGTTTATTCTCCAGCAGGGCTGCGTGTGTTGGTGTGTTCCTAGAGCACAGAGTAGAACATCATGGAGAGGGTTAGACTTTCTGGAATAAAGCATGGAAGACAGCCCTTAATGAGTGCTTCCATGTGACCAGACAAGGGGAATGGACTAACTTTTCCTAATTATGCCATCCGCTTGGCCCTGTGCTTGCTGATTTACACATATTATTTAATTCTCACAAGAACCCATCAAGGCAAGTGATCTCCTCAGTTTAGAAGTGAGTAAATTAGGATCCAGAGAGAGATTGTCTAAGCCATTAAGCAGCCTGGTTGCCCCAGGCCTCTCCTTCCATCACTGCTTTGCACTCTGCTAAGCTACGTGTTGCTTGTGTCTCACTTTTTTTATCAGTCTCTCGTGGTTCCCAAGATTACCTTTGACCTGAAGATACACTAGGAAATGAGAAACAAAAGTCGTGGGAAGACTGATAGGCCTTTGGGTTCAGGAGACCCGTCGTCTTAGACTGATCTCTGAAGACCTGAGTGTAGAGGAGGCCTTTGCTGGAGCTCTTTTGATAGTGGAGGCAGGTAGGAATCTTTGGTGTAATTTTGTTTTTCTCTTCCTCAGATACTAACGGGGAAAACATTGCAGAATCCCTGGTTGCAGAGGGCTTGGCCACCCGGAGAGAAGGCATGAGAGCCAATAAGTAAGTAAGCAGGTCTCTTCTGTCTCTTGTGTTTTTGAGACATAGAAAGATTGAGCAGTCAACTGTAAACAGGCTTTGCTGTATTTTCATTCCTGCTTTCTTAATACAAAATGGGTAACTTAATGTGTGTTCATGGCTTCTGGGGTATGCTTGCCAGTGGGTTACTTTGAACCATGATCATTCAGTGCTCATTAGTGGTTTTCTTTAAAAATTTCATTGGTGTACTTTGGACATAAATAATGATCACATTCATCATAGGCAGTTTGGACCGATGGCTATTACATCTAAATTCTTTGTTTTTCCTATTCCCTTCCCTTCAATCCCTTTTCCCCCTTTCTCTTTACAGAACTTTATTTGTTGTTTTCCTCCCATTCTTTTAATTTTTTATCCCTATTCCTTCTCTCCCCTTCTTTCTCCCTCCCCCCTCCTCCCTCTGTTGTTCACCTTCCCATTTGAAGCTTTTCTTCCCACTTCCCAAAATCTATCACCCATTTTTGTCCTCATTTACCTTTTGGGTTTCTCGTACAAAAGAAACTATGGTTTTTGTTTTTTTTTTTATGTATGTCCATTTATTTCTCTTAAAAGTGTGGTCTCAGGGTGGATCCATTTGTCTAAAAATGTCTTGAGTTTATCTTGCTTTATGGCAGAGTAGTACTCTGTTGTCTTTAACACCGAGTTTTGTATTTATCCTTTCATCCATGGGAATGAAAGGATGGGAATCTGGGCTGTTTCCAAAATTTAGCTATTATAAATTTGCTGCTATAAATATGAGTGCATACATTTCTGTGGTATAGTGCATTTAACTCTTCTGGGAAGATATCAGCAAAGCAGGGATAGCTGTATTGAGTGGAACCTCTAATTTTAGTTTTTTGAGGAATCTCAATACTAATTGCTGTATTAGTTGTACCAACTTACACAGCGAAGAAAAATCCTTTTTTCCACCACAGTTCTTTCAGGATTTGTTACTAGTTGATTTCTTGATGATAGCCATTCTTTCTGGAGTGAGATGGAATCTTGAATGACCAGTGATGCTGAACATCTTAAAATATGTTTATTTGCTATTTGTACTTCTTTACTTGAGAAGTGTCTGTTCATTTCATAATCATGCTATCTCCCCTCCCAGGTAAGTATTTGTCTGTTCATTTCAGTTGCCCAGTTTTGGATTTTAAATATTGGGGTGTCTGGCTCTTCACAGTTCTTCACATATTCTAGATACTAGTCCTTTGGCCGAGGAATAGCAGGTAAAATTTTTTCTGCACATGGTGGTTTATCTCATCACCCTGTTGGTAGTTCTTTTGCTGTGTAACATTAATGATTTTGATATGTGTACTTCCTTTAAAAATAGGCCTTGGGACAGGTCAGTTCTGTTCTTCATATTCATGAGTCTTAGACTATAGATCTTTCATTTCTGGAGTATTTATCTTTTCACCCAACCTCATATATTTATTGAACGCTTACTATGTGCTAAACTGTGTTCTAGGCATTAAGATTATAGCAGTGAACAGACTTAGGCTCTGCTATCATTCTAATGAAGAGATAGATAATAAATAGCTGTATGATGACGTGGGATACAAAGAATTGTGTGGTGAAAAATAAAGCAATGTAACTAAACAAGATTCAAAATGAAATCTGCTTCAAATTTGGGAAACTGACAAAGATGTAGTTATTTTGACCAGGAAAATGTTTCCTCTCTCCAGCCTTTTAAGTCTTTTCTGTAAATGTATAGGTATTTAATTAGTAGGTAAAATGTATTTGCTTTGATGCTGGTAATACAAACTTATTAGAAGAGAGTGTTAGGTATACGAGGTTCATAATGCATGCATTATACTTCCATTCACTGGTGTTCGCGCAGTAGGGTGGATTGCAGATGGCTTTAATTAACACTTTAGCCCCTGAAAAGTGATTCGCTACATCAGTAATTTGAAGGCTGTAAACATGCTTTTTAAATCATTAAGTCTTTGTTACAGTGTATGACTGTAGTAGTTGACAGAAAGACTTCAGATAAATACTTGCATACAGTGTGCCAATAACGAGGATGAACAAAGGCCAAAAGACACCTTTTGTATTCTTCCTGCCTTCTTAGACTTTGGGCCCAGGACATTCACACTCCATACTTCTGCGGCCCTTTCTGATTGCAAAGAGACTTTTGCTGGACTCTAATTGGTGTTGTAAGTGGTGTTGTGGGAACTTGGTGAATTAAAATGTTTGTTTTAGGTGGTGTTTTTGGAAGCATGCCACAGTTTTAGCTTAAGGACAATTACTGGCATGATTACTGTTGCATTGTTTTTTTGGGAAGAGAGTTTGCAACCAGAATGTATTTAAGAAAAAAAAAAAAAATCCCACAACGAAGAATCTTCACTGGAATATCAGTCGCTAAATAACAAAGTCTCCTTTTTCTCAGTTGTGTGTTTTTCTCACTTTGTGCTACCTTTTTTCACCTACCTCTGAATTTTTGGGGGATGCGAAGGAAGCTGCATACTGAATCCTTTTGGTGTGGGCAGTGGCCATTCTTGCTTCAAAATTCATACTGATGTAGGGGGAGGAGATCCCGTTTATGTGACGGCCAGGTTCTTGTGATCGTGTAAAGGCCTGGTGGTTCATTTCTCCCAAATTTAACATGCACATGAGGAAAAAGAACCATTTCTAGCATTTAAAAAAAAACTTGTCTTGGTCTATCTGCTGATTTTTTGGTTGCTGAGTTATGTAGTTTGGTTTCCTGCCTGAATGAATGAGAAGGCTCCATTTTAAAACGATCTTTGCCTAGCTGGCCTTACTGAATGTGTAAGTACTTGGGGGCGGAATTATCTGAACAGCCTTTTGGGGGGGGGGAGTGAGGGAGAGTGAGGGTGGTTCTTAGTCACCTTTGCTGCACTGTCCCCTGCTGTGCTGTGCTGGATTGTAGTTCCTGAATCTGGGGTGGTGAAATGAGGCTGGACCCCCTGGAGCAGCTCCCCATTGAGCTACTAACTTGTTCTCTTTACTCATGGGTGGTGGCAGGATCCAGAGAGCCTTCTTTAGATCTTCTCATTAAATGCTCTCAGAATCTAATTTGTCCTTGAAGGAATGAGTTTGGAGTCTGGAAATTGCATTTATGGTGATTTTTCTGGTTACAGGCTTGTATCTTACTCTGTAGGTCTGAAAAAGATGCTTCAGGAGCCAGTCCAGGGGTCAGGATGCTGAAAAAACTGAATGGCATCTTTCTGTTTTATGAACTCACTAACTGCATGGTTTCTCATGTCTCAGTCCTGAGCAGAACCGGCTTGCAGAATGCGAGGAACAAGCAAAGGCAGCGAAGAAAGGCATGTGGAGTGAGGGGAATGGCTCACACACCATCCGGGACCTCAAGTACACCATCGAGAACCCGAGGCACTTTGTGGACTCACACCACCAGAAGCCCGTCAATGGTGAGACTGTGGGAAAAGGCAGAGAGGATCCAGGAGAGTACTGCTTTCTCTTTGCTGTCTTTGCTTCTTGTGGTTCATGAGATCTAGGGAGCCTTTCTTTTGCTTATTTAGCATCCAAAGGAAATCCAGGAGGTGAAACAACACCATGGCATTTTGAAAGGGAGTTTGAATTCCATTCTTGCAGGCCCCTCCATGCATGTTTTATGGAGCCTGATCCTGCGCTGTTGCTGGGTTGTCACTTGCTGGTACTCTACACAGTGCAGATCTTCTTTCTTAGAGACTTCTTAAAAACTCCCCCTGAATCTTGGAGGTAGAAACAAGTATTCTACTACATGACATATCTCCATATTTATATGTATTTATATATGATTTAGTTTCCTACTTTGAGACCTTTCTTAACTATAGGCTCAGAAAAGTGAACATACAATCAGTACTGAGTTACTTTTTTTCCTTGCACCTGGTGCTCAGGTGGGCATCCTGGATTTTGGATAACAAATCAGGTGAGCATCCCAGATTTTGGACAACAAGGCTTTATTGTATGCTGTGAGGTCCCAGAAGGTTCAGAAGGCAAAGAAGCAGGTCTGCTTCGTATTCTCCAGGACTCATTTTTGTGGCCCCTCCTACTCTGTTGGTGTTTCCTAGCTTCTCAAAGGGAGGCTTTCTCTGGTTTGGAGGAGAGGACCTGGGCTAGAGGCAGTCTGTTTGGCCTTTGTCCATACTAGACATGGTATTCTGATAAGTTATTTGTTCTCTCATGCAGCCATCATCGAGCACGTGCGGGACGGCAGTGTGGTCAGGGCTCTGCTCCTCCCAGATTACTACCTGGTTACAGTCATGCTGTCAGGGATCAAGGTCAGACCCTACATAGGGGCCGTGCAGTGGGGTTGGAATTTGTGGGAATGCTCAGTGTTGGATATATTCCTCTACTTGGAAATTTCAAATCTACTGATTCTTCCTAGTATGGAACATTGACTGGAGTCCCTTTATGCTTATTGTGCAATGGGAAAGTTCTAATTCTACTCTGGTAGCCTTTTTTTTTTTTTTATTTTTAAAATTGAAAGTACTTTGAATCTGTACTGGGATTGTTGATTATGTAAACCTAGGAAAGGAGGGCTACAACATAGTTCTGAAGTTTGTTGCATATATGTGGTTTGTATGAATATAAAATATCTGCTTGTATTTTCAAAAATTAGAGATTAATACATTCCTGCCAGTTTGAACAACAGGTGGTATGTGCATAACTCTCATCTGGAAGTACCACTGGTGCTACTTCCCTGACTGTCTTGAAGGTGGCTTGTGCCACCCGCCAGGACCATCCCATGTGGCATATGTGGTGGTGCAAACTGGTGGGAATGTGTTACATTTGTATCGTGGGGCTGGGGAGATAGCTCAGTGGCAAAAGTGCCTGCCTGGTAAGCATAAGGTCCTGAGTTTGATCCCCAGTACAAAAAAACAAAAACAAAAAACATTTAAATCAGAGCTGCCTGGCAGTGAGACATACGAACTCCACCCCCATTGTATGTATTAAAAACTAGGTACTGGCCTAGTGGCTTTTGTTGGTAAGGGGCAAGCTTCAGCCATAATTAAATGACTTCCCCCATGGTAATGACAGGTTTGCTTTTACCAAGAAGTCTGGGAATATGGTATTAGCAGTCCTATTATCAGTATGTTTTTAAATGGTTGGACTAGCTGATTTGGGACTCCTGACCTGAGTATCTTTATTTTTGAGATGGGCTCTCACTGTGTTGCCCAGGCTGAGCTTGAACTCATGTTCCTTCCACCTCTCTGTGCAAGGCCTCTCTGAGCTTAGCTTGTGGAGTTGTGTTGTTTGGAAGGCTGACTGTGGGGCAAGAGTGCTTCGTTGTCACAGTTAGGCTTTGTTCCTTACCTGCCTGCCTTTCCTTTAGTGCCCAACCTTTCGTCGTGAAGCAGATGGCAGTGAAACGCCAGAGCCTTTCGCTGCAGAAGCTAAATTTTTCACTGAGTCGCGACTGCTTCAGAGAGATGTTCAGATCATCCTGGAGAGCTGCCACAACCAGAACATTCTAGGCACCATCCTTCACCCAGTGAGTGTGCCACGCAGACAGTGCTGCGCTGGGCTAGGGGTGCATTCAGGGTTTGGCGAGCCATATTTTGCTTTGATCCTTATCTATGCTTAATATCCCTTGAAGTGTCTTGGCAGAATCACCACCTAATGATTTGAGGCATTTTCTAAGGTAGTGTCATATGTCTTAGAGAATTGGACAAATCTCTTCAACTTCTCACCTTTAAGAAGTTAATCTCAAATGGTACTGGGCTCATAAGGGAAAGAGGAACAGAATCATTTACTTTCCCAAGTGTTTGATCCTAAAGGTTGTTAGTGGGGTTGGCCTGGAGAGGAGGTTTTTTTGTGTAGATCTAAAAGTCAGCTGCTGGTAGAGTTTTTGTAGACCATCTTAGAAACTAATACGTTGAAAAACTATTTTCTATATTCCAGGCCTTATCTGGTTATCCCCTGTCTCTGATGTGAGCAGAAGTGAGGTTCTTTGGGGTTCTTAGTTCATGTGCTGTACACTGTGATAGATGGATTATTCTTGGAAATGACATGACCTTATTTTGTGACAACTAAGTGAATTTCCATCATCGTAACCTATAACACAGCGTTAAGTTACGGTTACTTTTTTGGCAAGACAATTCTTTCATGGTGGCAGCTTAGAAGGCCATGAGGCTTGGTTTGGAGTGTGCCAAGGTCATGTCTGTTTCTTCTGCAGTGCTGACTGTCTGGCCGTGCCCTGCCAGATGGCTCTGTGTCACAGTGGAGTAAGAATTGTACTGGGCAAATGGAGTTTAGGCTGTTTCCCACTCAGTCTGTTCTTAAGCTTTCTGCTTATGGAAAGGGGAGGAATTAGGTAGGGAAGGGATGAATAAGGTGTAATCTTTACTAGAGACTAGCATGCTTCTCTGCCCCCAAGAAGAACTATTGAAATGTCAATTCCATTCGGTGCCATCAACATTTATTCTATGCCTGTTAAGTGAGGGGTACTGTGCCAAAGCTGGCTGAGGCTGTTGAGAGAAGTCTCAGAATGGTGCCTCCCATCTTAGAGGTAGTTTCTTAGTGAGACAAACTGTTAAAACAAAAACAAAAACAAAAAATGAATTGCCCAGTGGATTGTGGCTGCGTTCATTGTGCCCAAATATAGAGAAAGGGATTTTCTTGCTACAGAATCTAATCTGTGTCTGCTTCTCACGCACCTTATTTCTCAGAATGGCAACATCACTGAGCTCCTCCTGAAGGAAGGTTTTGCACGCTGTGTGGACTGGTCGATTGCAGTTTATACTCGGGGCGCAGAAAAGCTGAGGGCAGCTGAGAGGTAAGGTCTGTCAGGGACGCCTTCCTACCAAAGATGTTCATCACCTAGCCGTATATTCTCCCACCTGTTTGTGTCTGTTCTGTTTCATGTGTTGTTTCCTGGTAACCTTTTTCTAGCATTTATCCTATATTCTGGATTTTAGGCATTTGCAATTAAATAAGGCTCATTTCAGGATGGTGAAATCACTTGTCAGCTACTCTCAGACAGCCTGGCAATGGGCTATGCTGAAAAAGGATAAAATGGAACCTCTGGTCCATGTTGTGAGGCCGGATGCCCTAACTTAGGGAAAGTATGTTTTAGCTGGCCACAGTGGCAGATGCCTATAATGCCAGCATTTTGAGAGGCAGACAGGAGCATTATAAATTTGAATCCCACCTGAGCAGTTTTGCAAGATGCTGTCTCAAACAGAAGGCAAGCCAAAATAGGTTTGCTCAGTGCTAAGATCCTGGGTTCAATCTCCAGAACTGGCCAAAGGGGGGAAAAAAAAAAAGAGTTCTAATGTAACAAAAAAGTTACAACTTGGGGCTGCTATTGTCATCATTTTTGTTTGGTGCCTTATGATTAACACATATGTAGAAATAAGTATTTTTCTGGAAAACTGAGCATAAAAATCTCAAAGATTGGTGGCTATTCAACTGTCAAGTATTGGTAGATGTTTGGGTAAATTTCTATCTTAGGAGGTATATAGAAGAAAATAAAGCAGAGATCAAGAGTAAATTAATGGAAACAATACTCAGGAAAACCTGAATCTTCACTTCTAGGCTACCTGTAAGGAAAGAAGCTAGCAAAGAGTCAATGACAAAGATCTCTTGAAATTAAAGTGATCTTGACAACTTTATGATTTTTGGAAGGTCAGTTAACTATAGTATGCCATTTCTCAGGTTGTTTACACCCTTCTCTACTTGTGTCAGATATATTTGCAAATTTTTATGAAAGTAGATTTTTAATCTGGAGCATTTGATGTGGCATTAGGTCTAACAAATGTACATCATTGTTAAAAAACAGTAATTACATTTTTGTATTTTTATAATTACAATAAAAAGATAAGTAGAGCGTTTCAGATACTTCTAAGTAGTCTGAGGTTTAATCTCTTTTCTTTGGTTCAGAAGACTTTAAATCCATTATTCTAAATTATTATTTTGGTTGATAATTTTATTTTTGCTGTAAGTTCTTTTTGAAGAAAGTAAGTACAATTAAAGTAATATCTACATGTTTTATAACATCTGTAGAAGATTTTTATAGACTTTTTTGGAGAGTGCTCATCATTATAAAACAAGCTTAGACCAGAGAATGCAAATCATATCTTAATTTATGATTACTTTGCCTGCTGATTTGCATGCTTTATTTGAGCTACATACATTGTTGGTGAAATTACATCCTCTCTATGAAAGACTTTTAAGTGTTTCATAACTACTACATCCTGCTTTATCTTTTTCTCAATTTAGTGCTTCTTAGAGAAAAGGTGACAAGTCTGTTTTCAGAAATAATAGTTCCTTTCCATTACACATAGATATACTCATTTGTAAGTGGTTTAAGACAGCTGTTCATTGATTTCTTTGCTCATATTCAATTTCCCACTCTTACTCTGACTCCGGAAATATCTGCAGGGTTTAACACTTCAAAATGGATTTCTGGCAATAGGGTTTTTTTTTTTTTTTTTTTAAAAAAAAAAAACACTTGCCAACATAGGGACTTTGTCTACTTTCTAGTTTTTCTTTAGATTCAGTATGGTAACAGTTTTGTTCATTCACATTGGATTTGGTAGCTGATAACCTTTCAATTCAGATGGCAAGTGAGCAAGCTTGTGAGCAGGCTTGTTCTTAAGAGGGCACACTTGTTTGTTTGTGTGTCTTTTTCCTGTTACAGAGAGCATCTGTTCCATATTTGTCATCCTATTTGTTGTAGTCCCTCAGAAGATACTGGATAAATCAAGGAATGATTATCAGTGTGCGCTGGCACTGTGCAGGCTCAGACAGTTGCACTCCTAGATCTGTGTGCCAGCTATGACCATAATCCATGTGTAGCTCGGAGTTTTCCATTTGCTGTACACTTGTTGAGTATTTTCACATGTTCTCTTTGTCTGGCTGGACTGGTGGTCTTTCTCCCGGATGGGTTTTATGCTAGGGGAGGGCTCTGCAGGAACTGTCCCCACCATGGTGGTGGTAAGTAGCTTCACATGGAAAGGACTTGGTTCATCTGATCTTGCGTCTTTGCTTTGTTGCCAGGTTTGCCAAGGAGCGCAGGCTGAGAATATGGAGAGACTATGTCGCTCCCACTGCTAATTTGGACCAAAAGGACAAGCAATTTGTTGCCAAGGTGAGTCATTCCTAGCACGTTGATATGCATAGTGGACATTGCCAGGCGAGTGATAATACAAGGGTTTGAACAATTAGAAATGCTGTTGCGCTTGAATCTCTCTCTCTCTCTCTCTCTCTCTCTCTCTCTCTCTCTCTCTCTCTCTCTCTCTCTCTCTCTCTGTCTCTGTCTCTGTCTCTGTCTCTGTCTCTGTCTCTGTCTCTGTCTCTCTGTATTACAAGGGACTTAGAACATTTATATTTCTAACTATAAAGTACATAACCTCATTGTTTTAGTCTGATTTAGCAGTTGGGTTTCTCTGAGATTTCCTATCCTTTCTCATTCTGTTTTTAAGCTCCTTTCCCCCCTAGAGTTCTCCTTCACTGCCAAGTCTTGCTCTGAATGGAACTAGAGCTACTAAATCGGACAAATGATTGTGTCAGCAGTGTTGTGAAAATGGTTTTTTCATGGTTGCACATTTAGGTAACTTTAATGGTAGACTTGCTTCTCAGTTTCTTCCCAAAATGCTGTTATGTTCTCCAACTTACTTTTACTTTTACCAAGAGAGGCTGCTGCTGGGTGCAGTGGCACACACCTTTAATCCCTTCTACTAGAGAGGCTGAGGCAGGAGGATCACAAATTCAAGTTTAATTCCCTAGGCAGTGAGCTGAGACCCTGTCTCAAAAGGGGGGAAGTGGTGCTGGAATGTAGCTTAATGTTAAAATAACTCTGTGTAGTATCTTTATGTATTATCAAAACAAAATAACAGAAAAAGAAAGAAAAGAAACAAATGAGAGGTTGGGAATTTTGTCTTTATAGACCAAAAGTACTTGAATACCATTATATAGTAGCTGTCTCCCTACCATTTAGCCATGAGATTATGATGTGGGCAGCCACTAGGTGGCACTGTCAGCCTGACAAAGCTTGCCACTACCTTTGATCAAATTTTATCAGTGTCTGAGAAATTGGCTCAATTTCATTTTTTCTTTTCTTTTTTTTCCCCCCTTTTCTTTCATTCTTTCTGAATGCCACCTAAAGTAATAGGGTAGAGTCCTCAAGGGGCTTCTGTCTTTTAGTAGGCACTGTCCAGGTGGTGGTTAGGTTAACCGTAGTCAACCCTGCAGTCGGCCCGGGTGGATTACTCCCCTGTGCATTTCAGATTTTGTCACAGTCCAGAATAGGCCTCTCCATGAGGAAGGACCTAGCATGCAAACTCAGACATGCTGCTCTCTGCACCTGAAACCCACTTAGCTGTGCCTGTACTTCACATAAGCGCCTGGTTACGCAGATGGTGGTCGCTCACTCAACAAGGCAGGCTGGCTTTCACCATCATCTCTTTGATGGTATGTGACACTCAGTGCGTGTTGGGAAGGCCCTGCTACCTTGCCCGTCCCTGTTGTCCATCTGAAAAGTGAGTTTGTAGAGAAACCTGGAAAATGAATTCTGGGCTTCGAAGGTTGGGCAACTAAGGGATTGCTGAAGAAAGAAATTCAGAAGGGTAGATGATTGAGATGATAGCTTTGTATTCATCTTAAATATCCAAATATTTGAGTACTGAAAAAGGGAAAAATGGCAGTAGGAACATTTCTTTAAATATTTTTTGAAATGTAAGTCCCCAAGATCTGTTTATTTGTTTTTGAAAAAAATCAAGATGTGTTTTTTATCATCACAATGAAGTTTTATTTATTACAGTATTAGAATAGAAGAGACTGCATCAAGAATGAGCTGATTAAGGATTATGAGGAATTGCCAATATTACTGTGTTAGAATAGCGGAGATTGCCTCAAGAAGTGGTCTGATTGAGGCTTATGAGGAGTAATCGTCTCTTGTAGAACCTTCAACATAAATTTAGGTCATTTGAATACAGGCCTGTTTAGAGAACAGCGAGAAAAAATGTATTTGTAGCTAAAAGACTTTAAACTTCCTGAATTTTCAAAATCCCTCAGCATTAATTTTGTTTTTAAAACAGGAGAAAAGCACAAAAGGAGAATAGCTAGAATACCACACTGCCTGAAACACTGTGATACAGCTTTTTTTCTAAACATACTCATGCTCTTACCCATCTGACTTGGCAAACTTTGTCCTTTGGACCAAAATTGACTCTGAGACAGGATCTTGGTATGTAGCTCAAGCTCACTTTGAACTCACTGTATAGCTCAGGCTGGCCTTGAACTCTTGGCAGTCTTCCTGCCTCAACCCCCAAGTGTTGGTATTATAGGCGAGCGTCACCGTGCCCAGTTTACACTTGTTTCTTTATGGCCTGTGGATTTTACACTGAAAAAAAATTTTTTTGGCATGTGAAATTAAACATTAGTGTCATGAAGAAATTAGAACACAGCCATGTGCTTTTCAGTATTATCTGTGGCTGTTTAGGTGATACAGCAGTGGAACTCAGTAGTATAAGAGTTGTTTTAGTCTTTGAGTTTTTGTTTATAAAACCTGAAATGTCCTTTAGAAAAAGTATGATGATTCCTGTTCTATACTAGTCTTACTTGGAATACCTTGGTAGGACATAAGGGGCTTGGGACAGAATATAATACAGGTATGGCTTTTTTCATTAGGGCAAACGTGTTTAAAAATTGTTAGCAATGATTTTAGTGATGTAGACAATTGATTAACGTACTAGAGTAAGTCCCTTCCCTCATTGCAGACTGTCAGCTACTTTGAGTACTACTATATATTATTTCTCCATGTAAAGTTTAAGCATGTAAGGTTTAAGACAGAAAAAAATTAAAATTTCTATAGACTTATTAAGAAATTCCTATGGTAGTTCTGTTCTGCCTTGAGGCAGCCACGTTTCATCTTGGCTAATCTGTTTCTGAATGAAGTGTTTATATTGTTATTTCTTGATTTTTCAGTTGTAGGCATAGATCCTTTTCTTTTCTTTTCTTTTTTCTTTTTTCTTTTTTCTTTTTTCTTTTCTTTTCTTTTTTTTTCGGTGGAACCGGGGATTGAACTCAGGCCTTTGCACTTGCCAGGCAAGCGCTTATTTTACTGAGCTATTTCCCTGGCTCCCTTTTCTTTATAACATGGAAGAAAATAGGTTTTATTTTCTCAAATACTGATAGGGGCACATGTGTACTCTTCCTGTCCTTCCTAGATGATTATTTCATAATTTTAGTTCTGTTAATATTCAGTGTTTATTCCATAAGTACTAATCACCACAAAACTATAAAGCATATAAATTCCAATTCCTGAACAGTATTTTTGTTTTCTTTATAATTAGTAATTTAACATTTACATATACATTTTTTTCATGGTATTAATTCAACTCTTAAGCTTCCTGAGTGTCTAAATCTCTCAGATTGATTTAGTCTGCTAATCTTACCTTCTGTGATACTTTCTTGGAGTCCTTGACCTGCACCAGTTTCTACTGGCTTTTCATTTTGCCTGTTTTAGTACTGTAATTTTGGGGCATTTTCACCATTGTCTTGAGAGGTTTCCTTTCCTTCCTCAGATTAAAACTATACTTGTTGGATTCTGTGGCCTTTTCTTTATGGCTTACTACCATATGTCATTTTGATGGCACACTTTTCTCAAACTTCATGGCAAAAATACTCAGGAGGTAAATTTTGTGAAACCTTTCATATCTGCTCCCTATTTAAACATGATTGATACTTTAGCTGGGTATGAAATTTTATTTTAGAAGTTAAAATGTTCCTTCACTGCCTTTTAGCTACTGAAGTATCTCCCATTCCTGCTCTTGTTCTTAGAGGTCTGAAATCATCCTAATCCTTTATCGTTGTATGACTTATTTTTTTATTCTTAGATAGATTTACCAAGTACTTTTTGATCCTAGTATTTTGACATTTCATAGTGAAGCAACTTTATCCATATGTGAACATATGCTTCAATATTTAGACCTTTGTCGGGGGACTTCTGATTTTTCTCAACTATTTTGTTGATTTTGCTCAAGTTTCTCTTTCCTTTTTCTAGAACTTGTTATTTGGATGTCAGACTTTGCTGGAGTTCTAATTTTTGCCTCTTATTTTCCATATTTTTGTCTTGTTTGATTTTAGATTTTCTCCTCTTTGTCCTTCAGTCTTTCTATTTTGTTTTTTATTTCTGTGGTACCAGTGATTGAATTTAGGACCTTGTGCTTGTTAGCAGGCGCTTATGCTGCTGAGCTTTCTCCCCAGCTCTTAATTTCATTTATGATACTTTAATTTTTAAGAATTTTATTTGTTCTCTGAATACTTCTCTTTTATTGCTGTTATTTTAAAACTAACATCAGAAGTTACCTTGGATTATCGCCTAGCTCTCCTTAGAGTTGAGTTTTTTGAAATTTTCTCGGCATGCTTTCTTCCTTGGTTATTTTGGTCTCTTATTTTTCAAATTAGAGGCTTTTCTCAGATATTTATTAGTAAAGAGGTTGGGTCTTTTATTTAAGAATGAAGCATTATGATACTGGATTAGAAGCACTGAAGTTACCTGTCAACTTAGGGTACCTTTCTTGAAACATAGAAGCTTCTTACAGAGACCTGAAGCCAGTCCTAGTGTTTGGTTCCATTTTCAGTCCCACTTGAGATGCTTTAATTTGATAATTTCTGAGTCTTTTGGCAAGAAATGGTAGCTAGTATATATCTCTTAAGTGTATTTATTTTTTAATATATTGTAGAGTGGAGGTTGGCCAACTTATTCTGAAAGAAACACATCATTAAAACATTCTGGAATTTTGAACCATCTGGTCTCTGTGCAGTGGGTTGGATGGCCAGCCATTGAGCCGTAGTTGGCTAACATGTTGTCGTTGTTGTACTGAGGATTGACCCTGGACCTTTGCACAGAGCTGTATCCTCAGATCTTTTTTTTGAGATAGGATCTCACTAGGTAAATTACCCAGCACTAAAATCTCTCATAAAACTCTGGGTATCAGCACTGAATTAAAATGAAAAAATTGTCTACATTATTTTTTTATAGCCTAGAAGCCAGCTGTACTTATTTAGTCATTTAAATGTGTTTTAAAATGTCTGTTAACGATCCATAACTTTTTGACGGAAACTTAAAAACATCTCAGGTAGCGG